TTGGTGGCTTTTTGACTAATTTAGTAACTTTTTGACATTTTTACTAAAATAAAAGGTTCCCAAACGAGGCCTTAGAATTGCTCTAAATCAACAAAGGCTAACAAGTAGCTTATATTGTTTAGTATTATGATTAGGAGAAATTACCGCCCAGTGGTATTTCTACAATTATTATAAATTAATGAAAAAAATTATAAATTTAATTATTAATATTTATAAAATTTATTACCAATGTGTAATTATTTTTGTAAATATATACTAAATTAATATTTTCCCTTATGATTAAGGTAAATTTGCTTTATAAAACTTGTTTTCTCCCATTGATGATTTTATGATAAATTATGCAAATGGTGTCCAAAATAAATCATTGATTTCTTTTTAATGTCCAATTTTAATTGCATTCCTAAATTCTACACATTAATTTAAATTATTCTTTTTCTTAATTGTTGTCTAAATAACAGATGAAAAATACTTAAGTTAGTCTCATGTCAAGCATTAAAATGTAAAAATAAGGATAGATTCGGTTAAAAAACAATTATTTTTTTTCAATTATATAAATAAATAAGTGCAAATAATGATCAAAATGTTTTTCACTCAAATACTTGAAAAATAACTTTATTTTGTTGAAACCAAACATTCGCTAATTTCTACCTCCAAGAATATTCTTTCGATTAACTTGGGAACTTAAATAAAATAAAAAGAAAAAGTTTAAACTTTTGATAATGACATGATTTGAAACCTAACTTGTTAAAGTATTATGTAAGCATGTTTTAGGATTACTGAATAATTTTTTAACTTAAAGAGTTGATATTGAATCCAATGACATTAAATTAGAACAATTTTTGTCTGTTTCTTACAATAATATAAAATCAAAATTTTCAATGAATTCTCTATCAATATTTTTAAGAGCAATGCTAGAAGTACAACTCTAGTAGTGACCATCTCCCCTGTCGACCTCTACAGTGATCTCTTATTTTTTGGTAAATAAAAATTCACAAGACGACGTTATCAAATGATACTTTATTGTTTCTTTATATCGATAAATTAAATCAAAATGATGCCATAAAATTTCTTAGGGTATGATTAACTAGCGTGCTTCAGCCATGAACTTCTAATATGATTCAATTAAAAATTTAACTAAAGAAATCAAATTGATCAAGGGTTCACTTATGGGTATCATATGCTCAAAAGCTAATCAGTGACATCTATACAAAACAAAACAAACAAATAAATATGTAGCAAATTGTCCTGTATTATTATATCACCAAATTAAAAAAAAAATAAAAAATAAAAGATAAAAATAAATAAAAAAAAAGTTGTTAACATTAAATATATTTAAAAAGAAAGAAAAAAGATTGAAGGTATATTTAACTTTTGTTATGAACCTTAAAAAAAAAAAATTGTTAACGTTAAATATATTGAAAAAGAAAGAAAAAAGATTAAAGGTATATTTAGTTTTTGTTGTAAACCTTTAAAAAAAAAAAAAAAAGGGGTTGTTAACATTAAATATAAAAATAAAAATGGGGATTAAAGTAGGTTGGGGAAAATCCATACCCATTAAAAAATGGGGAGGGTGGTACCCATGGGGAATGAGGAATGGGGAAAATTTATTATAGGGGAATGGGGATGGGGAATTAATATCCACCCCATTGCCCCCCATTGTCATTCCTAATGTGTACATAAAAAAGAGGTTAGTTAAAATACAAAAATGAATTTTAAGTTATGATTTGACTCAAAATTTATTAAAGTTGATACGGATGCTCTTACCTACTAAGAAAATTAGGCCGATTTGATATGGGTAACATGTTCAATTTAACTAATTTGTCACGAAAGATTAGTTCTTGTAATAAGAAGGTTGTTACATGCATGGCTTTAAGTGAAAGGAATGAGTGAATTAACTCTTAAATTCACCTTGCATGGCATGAATTCTTCATATCCTTGTTGTTGCTTGTAGTTAGACATAACTTCATGCATGAGCCTCATGAACTCAAATGATTTCTTCATGAGTTTGTTTTGTAATTCAATCGAAATGTAATCTTTGCAAATTGAAACTTTGGGAGTTGATTTCAAGTGTCAATCTCTAGTTTGATCTCCCTTTACTGTTGAAGGTCCAAATTCAAGGTTGTTAAAACAAATCTATGGGTTGAAACATGTGAAATTGAGACCAAAAGGTGGTGAAATTGAAGACCTAAAACATGGCAGATTTTCGGACCCAAACAGACCCAGCACTGCACGTGCGGCTTGGGGCCCCGCACATGCGGAAAAAGGGCAGAATTGGAGGAGCATTTTGCTTAAATTGCAGCAGGTACGAAGATGGCCCTGTATGTGCTGCAAAGACCCCCGCACGTGCGGCTATTTGGGTAGTCCGAGTTTTGTTTTTCACCCATCTTTTTCACATTGTGGGCCTCCATTTGCATGGTTTTGACGCGTTTTCATGATCATTTGCATCTCTTGAGTGCATTAGATTGATTAAATAAATGAAAGTTAGAATCGAACGAGTGAGCTACGAATAGAAATTAATCGAATGAACAACGAACCGAATAAAAATAGAAATGATTAAATCTAGCATGGATGTAATTGAGTTGTTATGCTTGAATTGTTTGTCTAGGTCGGACACTACATTCTTAGTGCATTTTAGCACGTGTTCCAAGGAGTCCACTGTGAGTAACAATGTTGCAAAACTATGTTCAATTATAATTATTTTCTGAATGATTAATTATACTGCTTTCTGAAATGATATTATTTATTAAATGAATGTTTGTTCTATTTTATGAACTGTACTCGTGGCATCCATAGCAACCGATTGTTATTGTTACTGCTATTGTTACTGCTACTATTACTGTTACTGTTACTGTTACTATTACTGCTACTGTTACAGAGATCTTTGTCAGTTCCAAGTTTTGGAACTACTGTTTACTGTTTGATGGCCATCAATTGATTGTTCAGTTTTTTAAGACCTACTGTACTATTCTGTTATTGGATGTACCACATATGACTACTATGATTCCTATATGACAGATATGATATGGAATATGAAGTTTTGATCAAATAAATGCTTTACTGATGCGATTGACTAATTTAAATACTGAAAGGACATTCATTCTTCACCCCTTTACACATGTGCTATTCACTGGGCTTTAACTCACTGTTTATATATATGTATGTAGGTGATTAAGTACCCGAGCAGAGTTAGCAGCGTTGACCCGATTATTTTTTGTCAAGCCAACCTATTATGCCTAACTGCGCGAGGCTCTAAACCGTTATTGTCAAGGCTTTGGGGGGATCTAATTCCACCATTTTGAATGTTATATGATGTCAAAGTAAATGTTTTATACTTTGTTTTGGGCTTGAGATTTAATTTCCTACCATGTTCTTTGTTTTGGACTTAAGCTTTTATGTGTATATTGGATATGGACTTGGACTTATGAATACTTGGATATAGATGTATATCTATAGAAGTTGTTTGTTCATTCAAGCACCTACAACTCTTTGGACATTATGTTTTAATATGTACAGGATTCCGCCGGCCCTTTTTTATCGTTTAATTATTATTACTATTAAGCAGGCCTTTGGTAATCACGAATTACTGGCCGATTACGATGCTAAACCCTTAAAGGCTTGTTTGGGTTATGACAGGTTTATTATATTAATTTACATGAGAAATAAAAAATAGTGAACCATTATTTTTTTTTTAATTTTATTTATTTAGATGGTAGAGCATCCCAGCAATACCCTTATATTAGGTTTTTAGCCAAAATAAGGAGTTTTGTTGTCAAAAAACACCCCCATCAAGTCCCTTATCTAACCCCCCAAATAAAAGTGTTGCTACAGTGATTCCCTATTTGTAGAGTGTCACTGTAGCTCCTTCATATTGATAAATTCTTTTTTTATTGTAGCAGAAGGCACGAAGGGAACTGGAGGGCACCAAAACTCAGCCAATGACTCTCTTAAGAATCTCTTTCACTGGTGTAGGTCGCTCTTTCTCGCCATCATCATCAACAAAAGCAATTTCTGGTATGTATTTTGTTTGTGTTGTTCCCAATCAAACCGTACTTCTTTTATTCTATTTCTCTCTGTGTAGTGTGTATCTCTCTCTTTGCTTCTTTACCAAATAGAGACCAAAAACTTGCAAATATATATGTGATGCTTTGGTTTTGGTGACGGTAATTTGAAATTTATATAAGAATCTATTTTAACTTACTGGTTTATGGACTTTGTGGTAAAATAGGAATAGATATTTTATATATATGAGGGCTTTGAGAATTTGATTGCAATCAATTTTACTTCCTAAAAATTGAAGAAATCAATAGTTTAAAGAAATTTATATGAGAATCTGTGACTTTTCTGATTTATGGATTTTGTGGTTGAATAGGAATAGATATTTTATATAAGAGTTGTTCATGAAGGTAATGCCCAGTTAATGACTTTTCAGTTTTGGTGGATTATTATGAAATTTTGTTGATGGGCTTGTAGTTAGTAGAATTATTGCATGTGCTGCACATAGAATTGTTAAAAATAGTTAGCTTTTGTTTGAATTCTATTTCTGTTTTCCACTCAATATGTAAGGATGGATTCACAAGGAGGCAAATACTTCACCAATCTTTTGTACGAGGATTCCAACTTTCATGATTTAATTTTTATGGATTCTCAAGATCAAATGGGTCAAAATTTGAAACAAAATACTCAAGTACCTGATGAAACAACTCAATTCTCACCTCAAATGGAATCCACTGCTAAAAGATCACATGGTGGAAACTTCACTATAGATGAAGTCAATCTCATTCTATCGACATGGTTTAATACTAGCTTGGATGCAATGTATAGGAATGAGCAAAAACATAAGACATATTGGTCAAGAGTATATGAGTACTTCCACAAACACAAGACCTTCAATCATGAATGTAATGTGAACTCTCTAATGCATCGGTGGTCAACCATTCAGCTTGGCACAAATAAGTTCTGTGGATGTTTTGCCCAAATTGAATCAAGGCATCAAAGTGGTATAAATGAGCAAGACAAGGTAATTTTTAATTTTTTTAAAAAAATTATACATTTTGCAATTATTGCTCTTTTTAACAAGACTTTTATATTTTAATTTCAGATCTCTCAAGCAAAACTGTCATACCAAGAATTGCATAAAAGTTCATTTTAGTTTGAGCATTGTTGGAATTTGTTGAGGTTCCAAGCAAAATGAGTGGAGGATTGTCAAAAAAAAAAAACTAACAAAAAGCTAACATTGACCACCATCCCTCCCTATACTCCAGATACAATTAATCGAGGAGATGATTATGGATCGCATGATGCCTTTGTAGACTTGGAGAGACCAATAGGTAGGAAAGCTGAAAAAGAGCGGATAAAGAAACGAAAGAGTGGAAATTGTATGACTTTGCCTCTTACTGGGATACTAACTGAGATAAAGGAAGATAATAAAAAGAATAGTGAGAAGAAAATAGAAATCCTGGAGAAAGCATAAGTTTAGGAGGAACAAAGACTTCGACACGAGGAACAAAGACTTTTTCAAGAGGAAAAAAGACTTCTTCATGAGAAAGAATGACTTGCTATCAAAAATGAAATGTTCAAAGCGAAACAATTTAAAAAGGAGGAGAGAATTATGTTGATGAATACTAGTGGTTTGTCTCTGACGCAACAACAATATTATCATCGTCGCCATTTGGAAATCCTTGAAAAAGGAAAGTAACTGCAGGTTATGGAAGTTAATATTTGTTTTATGGGCTATGATATAGAAATTAATGTATTTTGACTCAATTCTACAGGAATTTTGTAATGGACCATGATGTTGGAATGGACCATGTTGTTTATGAGATCATGCTTATGAGATAAGTTAGAGATATGTATACTTGGAATTTTGTAATGGACCATGTTGTTTATGAGATCAAAACTAACGTTAAACAGATGAGATTTCATGCCCAAAACAACAGAAGAACAACAAGCAGAACAATAACAACACAGCAGGTGAACACAACAGCTAAAGAAAGGGCCAGATGTCTAGGGTGACAATTGGTCGGACATCTGGGTGGACGACCGGCTAGACATCTGGCCAGATGAGAACAAAGATTTCTGTAATACCCCTGTTCTGTAGTATGCTAATTGGTCCTTAATACGAATATGATGATGTGTTTAATATGATTTTATGTGCCATTTTGTGAATATATGTGATTTCGAAGTTCTATCTGTTCACCGTAGGAATATCTGTTTGAATAATTTGCTTTGGAAATTAAATTGGAGGCCTTATCGGCTACAAAACCCGAAATCGATTACGCCATTGTGATTTGCATAATTTTTAGAACCTACGGTGAAATTTAATTGGAAATTGATTCGGATCAAAATAATTAGATTCAAAACGATTAATTAGTGCCCCATTACCTTATTATTATTATAATGCCAAGAGTGGGTTTTGTTGGGTAAAGGCACTACACCCTCTATTCTCCCTTCTTGCTTCATTTGACTGATTTGGGACTCAAATTAGAAGAGAGTCGGCTGTAGAGAGGGAGAGAGGAGAGAATTGTGCAAATTGTAGCTTAAAGCTTGGGAACCATGAAGATAATCCAAGAATTGTTATAGATTGTGAGAATCAAAGCTTCTAGGTGAGTAATTCTTGGATTATAGTTTGTAATTTTGTGTGTTCAAGCTAATTGGGTGATCAAGAGTAAGATTGAAATGATATTGGGTTGGTTTTGTTGAATTAAAGCTTGACATATGCATGCATGTAAGAAATTGTGTTGAAATAGCATGTATAAGCTTGAAATACATGATTCAAGTAGAGTTTTAGTTGAAACTCATGTTTTGATCACCATTTGTGTTGTCTAAGTTGAGAATGTGGCTAATTCATCACATGCATGTACAATTTATGAAGATATGAGCTTGAATGTATGAATTTGTTATGCTAGAATGAGTTTGATGGGAGATTGGGGCATGCATGTGAATTAATTATGAATTGAGCTCCATTGGGTTGAGATTTGGGGTTTACATCATATTAGTACACTTATATTTGAGAATTGAGCCATAACATGCATGATTTGTTGGTTGAAAATCGAATTGGAGCTCAAGAACTCAATCTGGAAAACCCAGATTTTTGATGTCCGCTCGAGCGGGTTAAGTGCCGCTTGAGCGGGAAAATCGTGCTCCCAGCACTTTTTGCAGACATGGTTCCCGCTCGAGCGGGGAGCTATGTAGACAGGCCATCCGCTCGAGCGGCAGAGTTAACGCCTGAGCGTGATTTTGATGTAACCAGTATTTTTGCAGGCCTTAAGTGTCCGCTCGAGCGGGGACCTTATTTTCTGAAATTCTGAAATTGCATTCTGTGTTCTGTTTTCCGTTCTCTTTCACTTGTAAGCACTATTAGGCATGTATTGAGCATTGTAAATGAGTTAACGAAATAAGAATAAAGCCTAAAGAGGAATATGTGAATTAAAGAACGGATTGAACTGTTAGTGACCCTTTTGTGTTCATGAAATGTGTAGGGTCAAGCTCCAGGGCAAATCCACAAGCCAATCACTGTGAGTAATATCGATATTTGAAAGCTTAGCAATGTCCAATTGTTTATTCCCTTATAAGCTTTATGAGTTACTAATTGGGATTGTGGACAAAAGTTTGACATGAACGAATGAATGGACTGAAAGTCGTTTCGATATGAACGAATGGACCGAAGGTCGTTTTGATAGAAATAAATGGACCTAAGGTCGTTTTGACATAAATGAGTGGGCCGAAGGCCGTTTTGACACAAATGTATGGGCCGAAGGCCGTTTTGACATAAATGAATGGACCAAAGGTCATTTTGACAGAAATGAATGGACCGAAGGTCGTTTTGATAGAAATGAGTGGATCGAAGGTCGTTTGGACATGTATGAATGGACCTAAGGTCGTTTTGACATGAATGAGTGGGCCGAAGGCCGTTTTGACACGAATGTATGGGCCGAAGGCCGTTTTGACGTAAACGAATGGGCCGAAGGCCATTTTGACAGAAACGAATGGGCCGAAGGCCATTTTGACAGAAATGAAAGGGCCGAAGGCTGTTTTGACATAAATGAATTGGCTGAAGGCCGTTTTGACATGAATGGAAATCTGAATGGGCCAAAGGCCAGAATGTTTGGAACTACAGTCACTTGATTTGAATTTCGTATAGTTATATATTTGTTAAATAGAAATATGAATTGGGCCCAAGGCCGTTTGGAACATGTTGTTCTACATTGTTATGTAACTTTTGTATTTGATTTGATGTTATTTGCTGGGCTTTCGCTCACGCTCATTTATGTGTTTGTAAGTGAGCCAAGAGAAGTCCAGACCCAGCCTCAGTGAAGTCTGTATGGAACAACTAAGGTTTTGAGAGAGTCAGCCCTTGTGTCTCACGCACGAGACCCGTCTTCCCCCTTTTGTTATGTATTTACATTTTGTCAGGTTGGCGAAGTTTTGAATACATCTGTATATAGTTTTCATGGGTTGACTTAGTTTGGATGATCCTGTCTGTATAGAATCTTATGTCATTACACTTTCTGTTGTGAGTTATTAACATATGTACATATGGAATGTTATGGTGTGCATATAAGCACGGCTCTATGGACAAAGTTTTAAATTTGCTTCCATTTGGCCCATTTTACTCTGATGAGTCTTGTCTTATTCGGTTCTTTTGGTACATATCTTGACTCTATCTTTTCTCCTTACACATTATTTTGGTTTTAACTTCCTGTTTTGCAGACCGTCGGAAGGATAGCCGACATGGGCCGTCGCTATCATGATGCCGTAGAGCAGAATGGCCGTTTACAAGCGAAGGTTGAGGACCAAAGAAGTAGGGTGCTCGTGTTGAGGCCGAGTTAGAGAGAGCCCGTAATGCTGAAGATTTGAGATCGGTCGCCGAGGAAAGGGCGAATGCGAGCGACGCCGCGCTTAAATTGGCCCAGGAGGCGAATTCTAAATTGAAGGCTGAGTTGGAAGAGATGAAGGCGGTGAAGGAAACAGCTGACCTAAAGGCTTCCAGGGCATTTGATGCAGAGAAAAAATCTGCTTATGATGAATGCGTAGACGAAGTTCCCAAGTTTGAGAATCGGGGCTTTAAACACAGCTGGCTCAAAGCCCTTGCTGCTGCTAATGTGTCTTTGGCTGCGCCAATTCCATATGAGCAAGTGGATGTTGAGCCGCTGGAGTCTGATTCTGATAGCTGATTTCAAAGGTGCTTGTTTTTTATTTTAGGATTTGCGTGTATTTTTCAGCTTTTTACAGTTTTTTGCTTAGTAATTTTCATATGTAAAATGGTTACAATTTGTGCCCAATTTACTTAATGAGAATTCATTTTGTACCTCGCTGTTACTGATGAATGGAATTGCTTTGGGTCAAATGTTGTATAATTGCCGACTAAATGATTAGGACGCTTTAAAAGACAAAAATTGGTGAATGAACTGGCTGCGGCACATATCGATCGGCATGAGGTCAAGGTACGTAGTCGGCTAGATTAATAAATCTGCAAGTCTGAAATTTCCAATGGAGTTTTTGGCTTTTCCAACGAAGCCTTGAAGACAGAAGGGGCATATTAGCTCACTATGGAGAGACCTAATGCCTCCATAGTTTTATTGTGCTATGGTTATTTAAATAGAGGCAAATGCTAACAATTCAATAGTTTAGAATATATCTATTTATCTATCTATACTATATATTAAATAAAAGGGGGTTTTTAATTCCAAGGGTTGTGAGAGTTTCAATCTCCCAATCTAAATTTTTTGATTTAAAAAAAAAAATTAGCATTTATTAACTTCTCCTAACCCTAAGTCTTACCCTCATAATAACACTTTAATGTATTAAGAACAAACATAAAAAAAAACAGTAATGCTAGAGACCCCAAATATTCTACCAAAAGTTTTACCAAATGTCTCACATGGGTGTGGGACCCACACAATGTGGGTCCCATGTGGGTCCCACACCCATGTGAGACATTTGGTAAAACATTTGGTAGAATTTTTGGGGCCTCTAGCATTTTTGAAAAAAAAATTATTTGAAATCCAACACATATAAATTCCTTGAAAAGTCCCAACACATATGATTATTATCCCTTATAATAACACTTTAATGCATTAAGAACAAGTCTAACCCCCAAGTCTTACGCTCATAATAACACTTTAATGTATTAAGAACAAACATAAAAAAATTATTTGAAATCCAACACATATGAATTCCTTGAAAAGTGCCAACACATATGATTATTATCCCTTATAATAACACTTTAATGCATTAAGAACAAGTCTAACCCCCAAGTCTTACGCTCATAATAACACTTTAATGTATTAAGAACAAACATAAAAAAATTATTTGAAATCCAACACATATGAATTCCTTGAAAAGTGCCAACACATATGATTATTATCCCTTATAATAACACTTTAATGCATTAAGAACAAGTCTAACCCCCAAGTCTTACGCTCATAATAACACTTTAATGTATTAAGAACAAACATAAAAAAATTATTT